TTCTTTCATGCTCCAGTAGCACACACTTCATTTCATTCTGAGTCCCCGGCAGCAGTGACTTTAACATTTATATCTCTACCAACAATCTGTTCATGGTAATTTAGATATTCTCACAATGTTTCTTACCACATTTTTTATAATCCATAATCCTGAAATTTATCTAGAGGAAAGAGCAGAAAACAATAAGAGGAAAGGAAAAATATTTAAAATGTTAGTAGTAAGTGAGACATCCTGACTTCAAATTCCATCTCCACTCCTTTGTACCCAAAGTACCTTAGGAAATTACTTAATGTCTTTATATTTAAATTTTTTGGCACTTATAATGGGGATCTTTCAGAGAGATGTCAGAAAAATTAAATGAGGTAATACATATATAAATTTTCAAACATATCAAACAAATGGTAAGCACTAAATATATTAACAACTATTAGTCATATTACTATGATTTTTATTACAAAGATCTTAATATTGTTATAAGTGGTGAATGAATTTAAACTCTCATAAAAAATGTTTTAGAGCCGGCCTGGTGGTGCACTGCTACAGTGCGCCGCTTGGGAGCGCAGTGGCGCTCCCGCCGAGGGTTTGGATCCCACATACAGACCAGCCACTCACTGGCTGAGCGAGGTGCGGACGCGACACCGAGGGCTGCGATCCCGTTGCCGGTCCTGGTCCGGTACGGGCGCAACACTGAGGGTTGCAATCCGTTGCCGGTCATGAAAAAAAGACAAAAAGGAAGAAAAAAAATGTTTTAAAATGACATTACAATGAATTGTTATCGCAAATCAAACATTATAAGCACCAGGTCTTAATATGAAACATTCTATCTGCAATTGTTCTACCATGAGACACTCATAGTTTTTTAATTAATATTTTAATTTAAAAATTTAAATTAAGGTTATACTGTTCTATTTCCAATATGTGGGAAAGAAAATCTTTGTGTTAACTGGCTCTTTCACACTAGCTATTAAACAGGCTCATAGCTCTCCCATCTTAAAAAGCATAGTGACCAATAATAATAAATAATATTGTCTTGTCTTTCTTTTTCTCTTGCTATCACACTGTCTTCCTCCTGTCTTTCATGGCCAAATTTCTCCAATGTGTTGCTTTTACTGGTTTCTTTCACTTTTTAACTACTGTTTTATACATAACTTCAATCTGGCTCATGCTCTTACCTCTTTCAAAGTTGTTTTCTTCCTGAGATCATCAATGGCCGATGTGGAACTAAAAATCAACAGATAATTGAAAGCTATTTTTTTCACAACTTAGACTATTTTTTTCACAACTTACTCACTCCCTCCTTAAAGACTCTCTTTTTTTTGCCTTCAAAAATATGTTGCCATGATCCACCTTTCATCTTGTCTTTTTTATTCAGGACCAAGCACAAACATATGTTGTATGGTATTTGGGAAAGATGTGAGGTTTCTGTATGGGATCTGGAATTTATATTTTGTTGTTATTACTGATGCTGGTCATACACATCTGGCCATTATCTCATTAAATGTTGTTGCCTCTTACTCCTTGTAGAGCTAGGGCTGGGTCTGCGGCCTATAGACCCCTCAAGCCCCTTGTCCAGATTGGGTCACAAACCCTCCACATGCAGGTCTATGAGCTAGGTAACCAGAAAATAAAAGGTCCTTGGAGCCTTGGTTGAAGAAACAGTAGTCTTTGTTTTTGCACACACACATCTAGGAGCTAGGCAGTCCAAAGAGAAACTCAGAAATTCAACTGCTACCGGCAAAGTCCAAAGAAAAACTGAGCAGCTGCCAGCAAAGTAAACGTGTTCTATTTTTAGAAATGAACTCTCTGCTGGCCAGCAGTTCAGGGCTGCTGCTCCACACAACTCTGAAGAACACACAAGAATAGCAACAAAACTAAAAAGATATGTTGGTGTGCGTGTGCACTAACTCCACACACATTCACAGTTTGTTTACAAAGAATGTGCTGCACCACACCCAACTTTACCCAAGGCAAGGGGGCCTGATTAAACTATTCCATTTTCCCAACAACTCTCCACTCAGATCAGAAGCAGATCTGAGGCAGCATGAGAGGGCTTTTGAATTTTCTCTCTTAAATACCGCATATCCAATCATATACCCATATTTTTTAAATATCATCTGATTCAGAATCAGGAATAAACAGAACACAAGAGCACTAGTGGGAGAACGTAGAGTAATGTAATAGCTTTTTTCTTTTTTTTTTTTTTCTTTTTTTCTTTTTTGGTTGCTCTTAACATCATTTTTCTACGAGCCCTAAAAAGTGTGATTAACATAATATGGACTACACTGCTTTAAAGTGAAAATCACACAGTTTTTGATATATTAGTAAAGCTGTAAAACCATCACTACAATCAAGATAAGAAACATATCAATCAGCTCCAAAGTTTCCTTCTGATCCTTTGAAATCCTTCCTTTGTTCTCTTTCTTGATATTTGTCATCTCTAGACAATGATCTCTTTCTGTCAGTATAGATTAGTTTTCATTTTCTGAAATTTTATTAGTCTTTTTTGTCTCAGTTCTGCCATTATTGATAATTATTTATAGGTACATCCATGTGATTTTTGTATTAATAGCTCCTTTTTTACTGTTGAGAAGTATTTCATTGTATGCAAATGCCATAAAACCAAATGATTTTTATCCTTTCACTTCCTGATAGAAATGTGGGTTGCTTCCCTGTTTTAATTTATCACAAATAAAGATGTTATAAACATGCATGTACATTTACATGGACATATGCCTTAATTTCCCATGGGTAAATGCTATGTGTTTTTGGTTTTGTCAATATCTAACTATAAAAACACATCAAAGAAATATAGCCACTTACTCCTACTCCTAGAAATTTTGGGGAAGGTCTGTCAAAATATCACTGATCATTCATGATATGATCTTTTCCTGCTGTGTTTTGGGGTGCTGTGATGTCAAGCAGAAAACATTTTCTTCTTCATTGCATTCTCAGGGAGGTACATTTATCAGGGTGGTGCTTCTACACCAACTTGAAAACAGTGCTTACACATTGTTTTACTCTCTAAAACACAAGGCTTTACTTTACTGAGGGAGCATGAGGAATACAAAAATAGCAGAATTTTTCTGATAAGTATTTTATTACAAAAGATAGATACTGTCTAAAACTCCTATCTTTTGGTTTGACGTGGGAATGTAGAAGAGGGAAAAAAACAGACGTATCTAACACAATAGCTTCAAAACAGACCTCTCACCCTCTGCTATTACTCCCCTTACTACTTATCCCAAAGAATTTACCATATTGACCTGGTGTCAGGCCTTCAAAACTAACGCCACCTTAAGTGACATTACAAGTGGCACCATTATGGGCCCACCAGGGCGTATTAATGTGGCAGCCTAAGACGGCGCTGGGAGGAGGTAGGGTGGGGGTGTCTGCGGGAAACTTGCCTTAGCCCTTATTGGCTCGTGAACACTGTGTAGTTGCAATAGATAGGCATTGAGACAGGATGCATGCCCTTGACCTTTAAGCTGATAACATTATGTAAAAAACCTCCCTTCCCGATTTGCCTTTAAAAGCAAGTGCTTGTGTGATAATAAACGGAACTGCTCGACAGAACCCCCGCCACATCTGAGTGTCGTTTAACTGGGCTGGTTGGGCCCGGCAGTGTGCTCACCTCTCTTCACGGCTCTCTTCCCTCATCTCCTTCCAAAGGGGACAGGAGGGAAAGAGGAATCCAGGCCATTCGCTTGCCCACCATAAGGAACGAGGCTAGGGCTGTTCCGAGGCTAGGCCGACCTGACAGAGTGGTGCACCATGTGAGGCATTTTTCAAACTTGTGGGTGACAGGTGAGCGAGTGAGGCCCCCAGCTGCTCAGTCCTGAAAGAAGGTCGACAAAGGGTGATCAACTAACAGAGTGGCCCCCGCAACCGCGGTAGTCACTGTGAAGTAATCCGCCTGCGTGTCAGGGTGAGTACCATAACAGGGGGATGTCCCTGCAATTCTCTGCCCTGTTGCTCCCTTTGTCCCTTCCTCATGGGACAACATGGGAGGCGTCTGTGGAAAGAGTGACAAGATAGCTTGCAAGGCTCTAAAGTACATGTTAAAAAGCAGAGGCCTAGAAATATCTGACTCCATGGCCACCAATGCCTGGCGTCACGTGGTTCAGGTAGCCCCTTGGGCACCTTCATCCAACTTGTTCTCATATGAGACTTGGGACCAGGTTCAGACTCTGGCCAGAAAGAATGAGATTAGTCACAGGCTAGACCCCCCCCCTTAGGGTTCTACCCAACCATCTCTGCCCTAAAGCTTTGCTTCCATCCCAAGCATCAGGAAGGGGCAGAAAGGGATTGGGCGCAGTTCGATGAGGAGAGAAACAAGGAAACAAAGCTGCCAATGCAAGGCCCTGAGCCACTCAGTGATACCTATGCCCCTACCCTGTCACCCCACCAAACTTTAGCCAAAGGAGAGAAAGTGGCACCTGAAGATGTGGAGGAGGCTAGCCCCCCTTTAAAAACACCCCCGGCAGAGCTGCAGGCTTTTCCTGTTATGGCTCACTGGGAACCCCCAGCCATCCGCAGCCCGTGGGAGGAAGCGGCCCCTCAGGCCTATCCGGTCAGCGTTGCCCCCCGGTGGAAATAGGCCAGCTGCTTGGTACCCTTTGGAAACTCATGACCTTAAAGAGCTGAAAAAGGCTGTCACAGATGATGGGCCCAATTCCCCATGGGCAGAAACCATCCTCCAGGACTTAGCACACCAACCCTGCATGACCCAAGATTGAAAAATGCTCTGTAAGGCTGTCCTCCCTCCAAATTTGTTTATCAAATTCTGTGCCTTCTTTAAGGAAGAGTGCCATGTGCAGGCAGAGATAAATCAAGCAGACAACCCACCCATCCCTATCAGCTTTGGCATGCTGTCTGGAAAAGCAGATCAATTTAGTACTGGAATCCAACAGGCTGCTATCCCAGCCCCCTACAAGGACCAGGTTAGGGCAACAGCATTAGCCACATGGAAAAAGTTAGCTGAAGGGCCCAGTGAGCCCGCAATGGCTGGGGTCACCCAGCGACCCTCTGAGGACCTTCCATCTTTCATAGTTAGGGTGGAACAGAGCATACAGAGAAAGTTTCCCCCAGGTCATCTCCGGGACCAGTTTGTAAAAATGCTAGTGTGGGACGGCATGACTGCAGACCACAAGCTTGCCTGTGCCAGGCTCAAAGATCGTTCTATGGAAAAGGGGGTCATTGCCAGTAGAGACGTTGGAAGCTACCAACAACAAACCAGGGCCTTAACTTCCGCTCTACAAGCTCAAGCAGAAACCCTTGCAGGTGCTATGACCCAGGCTCTTAGTGTCAGGATCCCTAAGGAGAGCCCCAGCCAACCCTCCTATAGGGGTCAATGTTATGGCTGTGGGGAACCAGGTCATTTCAAAAGGAACTATCCCAACTGGAAAAATAAAAACCTTCCCTCTAAGCCGTGCCCTAGGGGCAGTAAGCTGCTGTACCGTACATCC